GGGGGTGTGGGGGGGTAGGGTGCTGGGGATTTAGCTCAGGCAGTACAGTGCCTGCCCGGCAAGCGCAAAGTCGTGAGTTCGATCCCAGGTACTGGGAAAAAAAGACACACAAAAAAGAACTGAAAAATCGGAGATATTTTGGGGGGCCAGGGATGTAGCTCAGTGGCGCAAGTGCTTGCCTGGCAAGCTCGAGGTCATGAGTTCGATTCCCAGTTCAAAAAAAAAAAATTTCCTGAGAACATACTTATCCCAAGAGGAAAAATGATACTATGAAAAGACAATAGGTGAACTGCAAAGAAAAGTGAAAAGTGTGCCCATATCTAAAGAGGTTCTCTTTTGTGCCCAGTCTTGGCAAGTGCTGAGGTAACGCTTTGGTGATCGCAGCCAGTTTCTAAGGTGATAGCTGTTGGTGAATATTTAGGGGGAAAAAAGCAGCCTTTCAGACTTTCAATTAGAGAATGTCTTACATCCTAAGATAAATATATACTCTGTGAAGCTACTTGTCTTTTTTCTTTAATGTTCTAGAAATCAAGCTACCTCTGGCTCCACAGGCCTGTCTTGTCTGGTGCCCAAGATAGGCAAACCCCCTACCAGCAGTTTGGGGGAGACTGTACTTGTAGCAGGCAAGACCAGGTAGAACAGTTGTGCTGCTGTAGTCTGGGGTGTCTTAGTAGAAATTTGAGATGGCTAGGGGACTTTTCCTCTTGGAAAATGAATGAAGAGACCCAGTTCCCCCAAAAGGAGAAAGGCTTCTTATATTTTGCTTTTGCATTTTGTTTTTTCATTTGTCTCTTTTTCTTTTATAGTACTAGGGATTGAACTTAGGTCCTTCAGGCTGAGCTACATTTCCAGGCCTTTTTTATTCTGAAACAGGATCTCCAGTTGCTAAGTTGCCCAGACTGGGCTCAAGTTTGCAATCTTCCTGCCTCAGCCTCCCAGAGTACTAGGGTTACAGGCTTGTGCCACCATGCTGTGTTTGTTTTTTCCTCTCAAAATCATTGACTTGGTTTGCTAGGAAGTAGGTCAAACCTTGAACTCTGATTACTAAAAAGACTCTCAGGTTGATTCATTCATACTGCTAAATGTTAAGGAAATCCATTGGTATACAAGGTGACAGCCAAAGCGATTCTTCACACCCTGCTTAAAAAGTTGTCCAAAGCCGTTTAAATTTATCAAAGGTGCTAGAGAGTACCCAAAAAGAATCTATCTGCTTCAGTTCACCACTATTTGAAGACATGCTTTTACAGTTTTTAATAGTGTGAACTCCAGAAATACATAACCTTCACATCTCCTAAATACCCTGACTCAGTGTGAAATGTTGTGAATTACTACCTGAATCAGACTGCTGTTAATTTAGAACAATAAGTGTTTGTGTGATTCTGCTTTTAGAGCCTTTCACTGCAGAGCACACCAGGAAAAGCTGCATTTTAAGGATTTCCGTTATTGCTTAAATTGTGAGCGTTTATAGATCATGCAAGTGATGAGAACTTTAGGTTGTGGCGTCCAAATGGATGGTGTGGTCAGTGTCTTGCTGAATTTTTGGACATGGTGAAATATTAATAATTTCTGAGTAGACTTATCATCTGGGTAGTGCTCAACATAAAACATCATTGCTGTACCTTTATGAAGATGAATTGGTTCCTGGACTTCATGGCTACCTAACCTTTTCTTTTCTTTTTCCCCAGCATCAAAGCTAAGATTCACCACATTTTCCTCATCAGCAACAGGTTCAGAAAGGAGGCTGGGATGGATGTGACACTGACTGCAGCAGCTCTTAAAGGCCCTGCTCTAACCAACATGACGAGGCGGGTGGCATGAAGAGGAGTCTGTCTGGATTGGCTTTTTAAAAGTCTTCACCCTTCCAGTAGCTGTCACTGTGAAAGTACGCATGGGTGTTCATGTATTCATAAATCCTGCATTCTGAGATGATTCATCAACATTGTGCAAGCCAAACCTTGTTTAAATGCTCTTTTTTTAGCCAGGTGTGGTGGCACACCCCTATAATCCCAGCATTTGAGAGGCTGAGGCTGGAAGATTCCTGTGCGTTTGAGGCCAGCCTGAGCCACTAAAGTGAGTTCAAGGCAGCTTGAACTACATAGTGAGACCCTGTCAAAAAAAACCAAAACAAAATGCCCTTTTTAAAAAATGTTGATGTAATAATGGCAGGTAGTGAAATTTTTTTTTTTTTTGGCAGTTAATTTGATAGTTCGTATTTTTCAGCAACAAAACTTAAAAAAAAAACAAAAAAAACCAAAAAAACCCCATAACTTTAAGTGTGATTCTGTTTCTTGGCCTTTTTTTCCCCACTGCAACAAACCAAATCCTTTATTTCCTTAGTGCTACCTGCAGTTTATACCTTTATCTCACTGCCATGTATATATATATATATATATACACTTTTTTTTTTTTCCTTTTTTTAAGAGTAGGAAAATTTATTGGGAAAAGGAATAAGGAACAAGAATAGCTCCTGAGAGACAGGAAAGGTCCCAGATGGGTTGCCAGTATATTTATCTTTTTGTAGAAAATGAGAATCACATCATAGGCCTGAGGTAATCATGAGCTGGCTCATAGGAAGAGGCAGCCTACAAAAAATCTGGGTGTCTCCAGTGAAGGCTGGAGTGTGACTCAGTGGTAGAGCATTCATGCTCCAGTGCTGAGTTCCATTCCCACCATCACAGACAAAAAGCAAAGAAACAAGTGAAACCCATTGATAGGTTGTCAGTTGATTTGTAGGTTCACCACGTCTCAGGCTACTGAGTAAAACCCATGGCCTCTTTTTGGGGGGCATCTGAGCTGGGCTCTTCTAGGAACGGCCTTATGCACAGCCTCTCAAGAAATAACGCAGTGCCATCCTGTTTTGCTCTAAGATTTTGGTATGTATGTTCTTTTTTAGTTTCTTGCCTCTTTCTTGTTCTTTTCATGTTGTCCCCACCACTGAGCACATACCCTTGAGCTAAATAGCAGGAGAGGAGCTTCATTTGTGGGGCAGCCGTTTCCTGGTCCATCCCAGCAGGATTCACTCACCAGTGGCAGGCACTAGTGGCAAAAAAATCTGGATTCTGCCATCTTAGTCTGTTGGCCAGTGCATGGAGTACAACATCTGTGAGAAAGGAAGCAGAGCTGGCTGGGGCCGCAAAGTGGCACAGCTCGGGCTCGAGATGAAGGCTGGCTAGCACACCCTGTATGGGCCACCTCTCTGTAGCTTTAGTTCCACTCTCCCTAGTGGCTGCTGGTGTACAGTGAGTGAATCGGGCTCTCTCCATCCATGGGCAAGCTGCTTCCCTCTGCCTAAGCCTTACCTGGAACAATGGAAATGTAGAAGTTCCTACCACAGGAAGGCATGGCAAGGGGTAAGACAGCCAAGCGCAGTGATCAGTGACAGCCTCTTGTCCTCAAATACAGCCTAGTTTTTCTTCCATTATGATTCCTTGTGCAAGTATGCGAGGCCTTAATTAGATTACAAAATGGAGAGCAACAGTGTGATTATTCGCTTTGAAAGTATTTCCATAAGTTTCTCATGGATTTTATTTTCTCTGTTTAAATTCCAATAAAATCACAGCTTTTCTGTTGCATTAAGAAAGTTTAAATTGTTGAAATCATCCCTCCCCCAATCTCCTTCAGTTTGGTTATTTTTGCAGTGCTGGAGGATTGAACCCAGGGCCGTGTGTGCGCTAGGTAAGTGTTGTACCACTGAGCTACACCCTAGCCCCATCCTTCAATTTACTTTTGAAGATTTCTCTGAAGTTTTCTGATTAAATTTTCTAACACATTTTCCCCATTGTTTCTTCAGCTTAAACTGCGTAGTTTTCCTTCTTTCTTTTACAACTGTTACTACCCCACCTATAAAATTAGCTAGTACTGTAGAATTTTACTCCTCATGTATTTCCAGAAAAGTAGCAAAGAAATTAAATGTTTGTGTTGCAGCATTCCTTGTGAGGTAAGAAAAATAGCCTTTAAAAAATTCTTTTTAAGACAGTCTTTAACATGTAGCTCAGGCTAACTGTGATCTCACTATGGAGGCTAGCCTGGCCTCGAACTCACAGCATTCCTCCTGCTTCAGCCTCCTGAATGTACTGCAACTACAGGTGCATGCCACCACACCTGGCAAAGTAGCCTTTTAGTAAGCCTTGACACAAGTGCTCGTACCACACACAAAAGCAAGATACTGGCCTTCGTATGTACAGTTCTTCCCAAGATTGGGGATGAGAACAGTGAGATCACATGAAGTCCATTTCCCTGCCTATAGGCAAATTACCCGAAGAAATACACTTGATTCTGTCCTTCCAGCCTCATTTACCCGAAAGCAGCCTGAGACTAGCCTTGGGCCTTCCCAGTTAGCAGCAAGCCTTTGCGTGCTGACTAGGAGAGGATCTTTGCAGGACTTGTGAGAAGCAAGTACGTGCTTGGGTAAGCTCAGTTAACAGTGATGTGTTTTCATGTTACCCAACACCCAGAAAATTGCTTTCTGAAATATCCCTTAGCATCTGTGGCCCACCTTTGCCTCATCAGAGTAAAGTACCTTACCAGAGTAATGAATTCCTCTGAACTTCGCCAGAGTTCATTTGGACCAGCTGCTTACCTATCTGTGGGCCCTGGGAGGCCCATCCTCTGGTATTTGTGTTGTAGTCAGGGTTTACAAGCGCAAACAATATAGGACACATAGTTTATAAGATTATTTTATAATAGTCACCAAAGTCATGTACAAAGAGAGTGCAGGAAATCTGTCTATACACTAAAGACCAAGAATCCAGCTGAAGGCCTGGATCCCAAGGCAGTGTCCTGCATGAGTCCAGCTGAATGTCCCCAAGTCCAACTGGAGGCCACAATGTCTCGTGCAGGCCTGTTTCACAGATCTGCACTGGGAAGGCCCAAAGGTCAGTGGTGGAATCTAGAAAGTCTGTGCCAGTGGGATGAACGATCTGTCCTAGCAGGCTGAGGGATCTGCACTGGGGCCAGAAAGCAATGCTCAAAGTAAGAACCAGAGCTCCCCCGAAAGGTACCACAGCCATGCTCAGTGACGAGGTCCCAAGTTCCAGTGATGAGCACAGCCGAGTCTGTATCAGGAAAGCCAGCATGACATGCTTCTCCCAGACACTGAACAGCTATCAAGCGATGCTCAAAGAATGGACCAGAGCTCCCCAAAAGTGAACCATAGGTAACCCATTCATTCGGGACCCCTCCTGTCTCAAGAGCTATTCTCATTCCCCATTCCTATTCTCCAATAAATTTTCCTACTTACCCTAAAAAAATTTTTAAAAAATAAGTGAACCATAGCCATTTTCAGCGACAGTAAGGTCCCAAGCATAGCTGCATTCATATCAGGAAAGCCAGCATAACAAGGTCCTCCAAGAGAACCAACGCCTCCCTAACAGCTTCTCTTTTTCTCTAGTTCTTTTGTTGGCAACAGGCTTCAGATAGGCCTCCCATACCCAACACCATGTTCGTTCCATTCAACTGGGTATTACAAGTTGATCACCAGTTGTGTCCACAATTTGAGATACAGTAAAATGCATGTTTTCCCATCTAAGATGAGATCTCTGTCCCCCGCCGCCCCAAATAGCAGGTAACCTGTGTTAGCCACTTCCTCAGCTCCAGAGTCTGCTCTGCACCCCTAGGTCTGGAAGGATGCTGTCAACTTCTGGTGTCTGAGGCCTGTGTGCCATGGCACCTGATCACATGTGCTCATCTCTGACTGGCCTAGTGACACCTCTTTGTAGGAGTACGAGTAAGCATAGATTGTCACAGGCAAGAGTTTGAGGACTTGACCAAGCTTTTAGTTATATGGAAACTGCTTCATTCAACAAATGCTGAGTACACACCAAGGAAAAATCTCTGCCCTTTGTGTGTGGGAGGACAAGCCAGCCAGGCAACAGTTTCTTAGAGCTCACTGCTGTTCTGCAGGGTGGGACTCCAGGGTCTAGGTTAGGACTCCTTTGGTCTGGAAGGTTGTCCCCATGTCAGCAGTAGGTCAGGGTCCCTCGCATGTGTTCTGTCAATGACAGAGGTAGCTGGAATTCTTTTTTTTTTTTTTTTTTTTTGGGGGGGGAGGGTTTGGTTTTTCTCCGGTACCGGGAACCGAACTCACGACCTTGCGCTTGCCAGGCAGGCGCTTTTGCCGCTGAGCTAAATCCCCAGCCCCTGGAATTCTTGCTTAGACATACACATACTTGGGTCCAGCTAAGCTGAGAATGTAAAAATATCATCAACTCAACACTTTCAAAGAATAGGAACCAAAAATGAGACTGGGCTCCCTTGAGATTTGAGTTTTCACCTAGACCGGAGTATGTGAGCCAGAGGTTTTGTCCTTGAAAGTATTGTCAGACAGGGATGCCTTGTTAGAACACAATCCAACTGATCCTAGCCCAGGTCTCTTCTTTCTGAGCCTACAGGTGAGTCAACCCAAAAATCATCTTTGAGTATGACTTTGACCTCATTTGCCTTGCAGAAGTCACTGTTGGGGCAAGACTGGTCATCAACCTTCCCTGGTTTAATGAAGGGGCAATGAACAGAAGAGAGGTCAACCTGAGCTGAGTGGGCCTAGCGGCTGAAACTTTGGCTTCACATGAAAGCTGGCATTAGACATGGTGGCACATATCTGTAATCCCAGTACTTGGTAGTGTGAGGCAGAAGGACCCTGCAAGTTCAAGGCAGGCTTGGGCTACACAGTTCAAGTTCTGCCTGAATTGTATAGCAGGACTCTGTCTCCAAAAACAGACCTCCCAAATTTGGCAACAAAATCTCATCCTGAAAGCTAGTGTGTACATACCTGTAATCCTGGCACTCTGGGAGGTTGGGGCAGGAAGATCACTTGTAAGTTTGAGCCCAGAGTAGGCAATTTAGCAAGACCCAATTAAAAAAAAAAAGTCCAGGCGTGGTGCACACCTATAATTCCAGCACTTAGGAGACTGAGGCAGGAGGATCATTCCAAGCTGGAGGCCAGCCTAGACTACATAGTTCA